TGGGTATTCTTCACCTTCTTCATTTTTTAGTAAATTATCTTAATGATGGACCCGAAGAAGCTTTCAATTACATATCAAAAAACGAGTGAAAACTGACGTAAATTTATATTTTTATTTAAGATAGTAGAGCCATGTATATTTGGTGAAATAATCCAAAAAAAACATAAAATCTGAAATTTTCAAAGAAAATTACTAGTGTAGGACTCCAAATAGCATAAATAACTTTAAGCAGTTTAGAGATAGATATAGAAGATGTTCTGAAAGGTAATCTAACTTTTATTACCAAGATAAGTCACAATGAGGAACTTTTATTGATTCTAAAATTGTAAGGGAGTAAAGAGAGGTTAATTGTGGACCAAGGATATCTCAATGTTTAGATCTTTTATAGGAAAGATCTTTTATAGGAAACAAGTCAGCAAAGAACTCAATAGAAGTATTATTTTATCTGTAAAACTGAGAGACATAGATAATATTTTTTTTATGTGAAATGTACATAAAATATCATCGAGTTTAAAAATGATCGTGTGTAAATTAAATGATATGTGACTAGTGTGATCAAATTTTGGTATCATCACTAACGATGATATGTTCATTCCTACCATAGTCAGTATGGATGGATATATTCATAGGTCAAAGATTTCGTAATGTGAAGCGTCAAAGCCAACGATTTAGTTGCCTTGATGAGTAGTCAAACGGTTATGATGTTTGCTCGAGAGCAATTGGATGTGACGTTGGGCTTTAGTCGAGATCAACTTAGTTTTGTTGTATGGCAACTTTATCACACACAATTGGCAGATGACACTTCACTTATTGTTATTATTAGAACATTAGGACTTGTGGTAGTAATTATTGGGGTTGAAGTTCTTTCCTGGATTTTCTTTGGGTTAGAGTTGCCACCATAATTAGAGAGTTGATAGTACTTTGGAGACTGATCGCTTTATGGGTTACCTATGTTTCCAGGAGACTCCTTATTTGACTTTCGTTCTTATTATGTTAGTAGGAGTAATCGATAAAGAAGACAAGGTTGAGGATGCCGTCAACACGGTGGAGGGAAGAGGATAAAGACACCATTGAAGAATTCAACGAGGAATAAGTCAAGAAAAACTTTTGCCTGTAAAGAACCCCAAGATAGGTAGCACGTTCCGTTCTCCAAGAATCATACAGGTTCGATGGGTGAGAAGGAGAAGAGGGCGATGTTGTGGTAGTTGTCTTAGGGGAGAGAGATCATTGTCCCGAAGTAATAATAGGAGACATATACTTACTTAAAGCAAAAGGGTTATGATACCATGAAATAGATATTACAATTTGAATAATGCATCAATGATATGTTGAAGACGTATGTCGATCATTTCTTTGCTGGTGGGAGAGATGAAGATACGGTCTTAGATAAGAGAGTGTCTTAACGAATATGAAGAGTGGGAGGTGTTGAAGATACAGTGTCTTACGAAAGCAACGAATATGAAGAAAAGGAGTCTCAAAAGACGAAGATACAATGTCTTCTGAAGGTAATAAATACGAAGAAAAGGAGTCTTAAAAGACTAAAAGTCATGTTTACAGTGCTCCACTTATTTCCTCAAAGATAAAAAGTCTAATTTAAGATAACACATGCCTAGGAACTCTCACTGGCATAACGGTGCTTACGTTACATGACCTTTGCTAAGTTCTTACTGCATACTGGTAGCTTCCACGATGACATATTATTGAGATGCAGGAATTGGATGAGGATCGACTGTTGATGTTCTTAAGATGTAGGAATGGGAAGAGCCGTGGCTTTCATGGCTTCAAATCTCGGTTCCTTGGCCTGAAACTTCTGTATCACGTAGAGCTTCATGTAATCCTCGAACACAAACCTGGGATACACCGCCGCCACGTCGTCCTTCTCGGCTTCCTTCTGCACCAGGGAGGGAGCCGGGAAGACGACGGCGTCGCTGCCCGGGTTGTAGAACGAGGCGATGGACATCCTGTTGCCGTCCGTCTGCGCCACCACCCGGTGCAACACGCTCTTGTACTTGCCATTCGTGATGACCTGCACGGAAGAATCCAGTGTTAATGCTGTTTAAGCGTGTAGTGGCGCAGACCGGGTGGAGATCGCAAACCTCAAGCTGATCCCCGAGGTTGACGACGATGGAGTGGCGCATCGGGGGCACGTCAA